ATCTGACATTTACACAGCTTCTCTAATCTAATATACTTTATTTTTCTGCATTTTAAAGCTGAATTCTGGGAGTAAAAAAAAAGTATGCCCGTTAAGTCTGTAGGACACCATTCATGTTACAATCTGACTGTACAATCTTTCCACAATCAATGTTGGATTTACTAATCCTGTGTAATATGAGGACCTACCTAATCTATTCAATAATTTTTTCTGAATCAGGTAGACCTTTGCACTACATTGTTGTTGGTAGATTTAAAGGAGATTGAACAATTAGATTGTAAAGTGTGTATAGAGCCTATGCCTGTAATACTCACAATAATCCTCACTAGAGATGAGCTCTAATGTGTCCAGATGCTCTCTGGAACCCATATGGCCAAGCCTGTCAGGAAGCTGGGACTTGTAATGGATTAATCATCTGCGGTGGTGACATTCTCCACCCTGCAATCATATACAGTCCTCTTGTGTATGCTGACCCCTTACAGGTGACAGCTTCCTGGCAAGCTCAGACAAGTGGGTTCGGAAGAGCATCCTAACACACTCAAGCTCATTTCTAGTCCTTCCTCAGCAGCTCAGAGAGGTCACACCTGATGAGGCAGAACTAACTGAGCAAGTGATCTGCAGCCAGGACAGAGGCCCTCCACTGTCAGAACCATTGTGTGGGCAGAAGCTCAATAAATCAGACGTTTTATTGAATTCCCCAATCTGTTGTTATAAAATCCTATAAAGCTATAAATGCTTTGAAGCCACATGTTACCCTGATTGAAACACTGAGGTATTGTTGTAAAGAGTCCCCAATGTGCAGCTTCCACTATTCTGCATTATACGCATTTGTTTTAGATAGCCGAGCACTGAAAGTTCAAGACATGTTACAGCAATTTGGACTTTTATAAGTTTGAGTAATTTTTACCTTTCCTTTATATTATTTATGCTAATACTGTTGTAGCTCTGCATATTATTTATTACTTTTGAATATTCTGATAAACAGCTTCCCTCCCAGTGAAGCCCAGGGTATCTCTGGTAACCCAGGTGAACAGTTGGAGGGATCCAAGGCTCTAGGACAAAGGATACCCCACTGAAACTGCAGTACTTTGGTAGCAACCAGGAAGAGGTTCCCCACAGTAGCTGGGTCTTCTGGAAAAGCTGCGTGTTATTGAGCCTTTGCCCTGCTGCCCAAACAATGGTTCTGACAGTGCAGAGCAGGGGTCTCCACGTTTTCTAAACAAAGGGCCAGTTTACTGTTTTTCAAACTTTAAGAAGGCCAAAGTGTGGCCAGCAGAAGCAGAAAATGTCCTGGTGTCAGTGGCAGTAAACAATACCCCATCTTTGGAAGTAGAGGCAGAAATAGAGCCCACTCATTGGTGTCAGTGGGAGAAATAGTGCCCCATCAATGGTGTTAATGGGAAGAATAGTACCCCAACATTGGTGTCAGTGGGAGGAATAGTGCCCCATCATTGGCATCAGTGGCAGGAACTATGCCCTATGCCCCACTGTTGCTGACAGTGGGGGGAATAATGCACCAAGGGCCGGATAAAAGCAAGCAAAGGGTCGCATCTGGCCCCCAGGCCACAGTTTGGAGACCACTGGTGTAGCGCCTCTGTCCTGGCTGCAGATCACTTGCCCAGTTACTTCTGCCTCATCAGGTGTGATCTCTCTGAGCTGCTGAGGAAGCCAAGCACAGAAACTTTTTTCCAGGGACTGTGCAGGAACCCAGGTAATTGTGGGAAAGGGTGTTAAAAAATGTGCTTGTATCTGATCATGTTGAGTGAATGGGTTCTTTACTACAAGTATGTATAGAGTTTTTTTTCCCAGAATTTCAAATCCCCCTCTTTCCACACAACTGCCTTCCTCTGCCCCTGCAGGGGCATACATTTTTTCCCTCCAGTGCTCTAGCCCCTTTGGTGACATCAAGGAACTTTCCTCCGCAGGAGGTGCTTATTCTCCTACATGAGCGCTGTACAGTCCTCCAGTAATGTGAGCCAAGGCTGCATAATGATGCACCCCATGGGGAAGAGGGGTATAAACAACACAATAGACTCAGAATGACATGACAGTTGTTCTGCCAAAAAGGTATAGCTGGTGCTGGACCAAGAAGGAGGACCAGGGAGGAAGCCAGAGGAAGACCACAGCACCTATTTTTGCACTTCTGTGACCCAGATTCAGCAGATAGCAGGCTAAAGCCCGCTGTTGGCTGACGTTGCAGAGCTTTAATGTCGGGATCCATACAGGTGCCTGACTGTCAACTGGTTCAGCCACCTGAGCTATCAACTTTTATCCTCTCCACAACCCAGCACTCCAGTGAGTGCAGGAGGGGCAGATCGGAAAGCCAGTGACTGACAGTCACTGCTTTCTGCTCACTGAAGACCAAGAACTGAGCGATCAGCAGTCATTTGATCACTTGGTTCTCAATTTTAGAGCTGGCAGGGGACAGCTGCAGCATTGCATGGATGCCTCAGCCATAAAGGTATATGATGTTGATGATATACTAAGAAGGTAATAATCAAGTACTTTATATAATGTCTTTTTGAAAGCCACTTGGTTGTTATTTAGGAAATATCTTGAAGCAGCAGGCTCTTGACAGCAACTTGGTCATTTCAGGGACTTCATGCACTCATTGTCCATTTATTCATTTATTCTCCATGAGTTTTTGCTACACAAGCTTTCACTACTTAATTAGAGGAATTGAAAAGGATACAGATTCAAATATGGAAGATTTACTTACACCTGGATTTTCTACATGGACTTTCCATTAATGAATACAGAAGTAGTCTTTGCCTACTATATCTGGCTTATTAGTCATTCACGCAGCTAAGTGGAAAATGCAGAACGTTTTTTTGTTTTTATATTTTTTTTAATTTTATTTTTATGATTGAAAACTGTTCACCATGATACAATGTCTACCTTTTCATGATCCATGTGATCTTAATAAATACAATTTGCATTCACTAATTCAGTGACCATTACTCCGCATAGGATTTGTAATATACCACTTTATGGCAGGTCTGCTCTTGTCAGCTGCTAATTTCTATTTATGTTATTTGGTTTAAGAATCCACACCTTATACATTGGGTGAGTCGGTGACTAATTATTAAATAGTGATTACACCTAATTTCAATGGCAATTTTTTTTCTTTATATTAGGTTTTATTTAACCATACTCCTTTAGGCCCCTCCCACAATATTACCACACCCACAATTTGGCGCACACACCGCTATTATTACCACCCTTTACTCCACCCCTGTCTCATCCCCATTAAAAGTGAAAGTGGACGACAGGTGTCACAGTATTTCATTTCGAAAAGCTAGTCACTTTATATAAAAATAGATTGTTAAGCGGAACTGAACTCTGGAAGCTGTGGCCAAAAAAGATCAGGCGCAGAGCATACTTTTTCTTGTTTGGCCCTTTGTTTGGTGGGAACCGAGCATTATACATAGAAGCAGTATTTCTATCCTTTCTGTATATATGATAGCTTCTCCCTGTCACTGGTTCCTAAGGAAGCAGCAACTGACAAACCAGATTGTCTGGCCACAAAGAAAGGGGCAGGAATAGATAGCAGTGACATCACTGCCAAAATATGGTCAATGGCCATATTTTGTGAATGTTGTAACCTCTATGCTATACCTCCCTTATATAGCTTGTATATACTGTAGCTAGTGCCATTGGGATTGGTTGGCATCTGTTTGTTTTTTCGGTGAGTTGGCAGGCATCATGATTGACTATGGATTTGCAATGAGGGACATTTTTGGGGAATTTTTTATTTTTTTAATAAAGAATTTATAAATGTTTGATTGTATTTATTCATAGGTCTAACAAACACAAATTTCCCAGCACACTTACCAGCCAGCCTACAAAAATACTAAAATGACTAAATACTAAAATACTAAAATGACTCTGTCTAACAATTCATGTTAAAAACAAAGGGTTTTGTTTGCACACATTTGCAAATATATGTATAAGCTGCAGTGCCTACGTCAAGGCACCTCGGATCACTGCGGTCACAATTCTATACTTTTCTGAGTATCTCAAGTTGGAGCACATATAGGAATAGATGGATTAAAGGCAGGCGCATGGTAGGAGCCCACTTTTCCTTAAAGGCACAGGGACGGCCAGCAAAAGGACAATAGCAGCTTAAGGTATCCCTTTATTTAAGGGTATATGAACAGGGCATCTGAATGGGCCCATAGGTGTGCTGCCAACACTCATAGAAGAAGCATGCCCATGTAAGAGTGGAGCCAAAAACAGGAATGGAAACTCCTGTGTAGTGCACCCAAACTTGTCTAGGTGGCCTTCACCAAATAGCCAAGGTATACTATAATAGCTATACCTTGATTATCTGGTGAAAGATGAGCATACAGAAGGTATGTTCAGATACAGTCTGCTAGACAGTATAATTACTATGCCAGAGTAACTTAGAATAGAGTTCAGTACCACTAGACTGGAATCAACACATAAATCAGCAAAGTCAGAAATAAACAGTACATAAAAGCATTAACTGCAATGTGAACAATAATAGTATAACTAGTTTAGAGTGCACTATAGGAGAATGGCTAGGATATGGTGCAATCTCCCTTGAGAGGTACCTCTTATCATAAGCAATAGGTAAAAATATCTGTTTAACAGTTGTAAAGGGGCAGTCTTTAGTTTTATCAATTACAAAAATTGCCCATGAGATTTTAAAGAGGAAGGAAGGAAAAATGTCATCAGCACACCACGGATCACCAATATGGGTCAATAGGTTTTAATGAGCGAGCTGGGCTGTGGAGAGGGAGGGAGCTGCAGGCTCTCAGTGGCTGAACCAGGTGCTGCTCCTTACTCTGGGATGGATCCCGACTTTAAAGTTTAAAAAAGCATTGGCTGTACTATTCCTTTAAAAACATAATCACTGTCAGGATATTATACTCTATACTGTATAGCCAAAAGTATTGGGGAACCCCTCCAAATCATTGGATTCGGGTGTTCCAATCACCTCCATGGCCACAGGTGTATAAAATCATCACCTAGGCATGCAGACTGCTTCTACAAACATTTCTGAAAGAATGGGTCACTGTCAGTGAATTCCAATGTGGTACCGTGATAGGTTGCCACCTGTGCAATAAGTTCATCCGTGAAATGTCCTTGCTACTAAATATTCCACAGTCAACTGTTAGTGGTATTATAACAAAGTGGAAGCAACTGGGAACAGGAGCAACTCAGCCACAAAGTGGTAGGCCACATAAAATGACAGAGTACATGCTGAAGTGCACAGTGTGCAGACGCTGCCAACTGTCTGCAGATTTAAACGCTAAAGACCTCCAAGCTTCATGTGGCCTTCAGATTAGCAAAACAACAGTGCTTAGAGAGCTTCATGGAATGGGTTTCCATGGCCGAGCAGCTATATCCAAGCCTTACATCACCAAGGGCAATGCAAAGTGTCGGATGCAGTGGTGTAAAGCACGCCGCCACTGGACTCTAGAGCAGTGAAGATGTGTTCTCTGGAGTGATGAATCACACTTCTCTGTCTGGCAATCTGATAGACGTGTCTGGGTTTGGAGGTTGCAGGAGAATGGTACGTGCGTGATTGCATTGTGCCAAGTGTAAAGTTTGGTGGAGGGGGATTATGGTGAGGGGTTGTTTTTCAGGGGTTGGGCTTGGCCTCTTACTTCCAGTGAAGGGAACTCCTAAGGTGTCAGCATACCAAGACATTTTGGACAATTTCATGCTCCCAACTTTGTGGGAACAGTTTGAGGATGGCCCCGCCCTGTCCCAACATGGCTGTGCACCAGTGCACAAAGCAAGGTCCATAAAGACATGGATGAGTGAGTTTGTGGTGGAGGAACTTGACTGGCCTGCACAGTCAACCCGACTGAACACCTTTGGAATGAATTAGAGCGGAGAGAGTGAGCCAGGCCTTCTCATCTGACATCAGTGCCTGACCTCACAAATGTGCTTCTGGAAGAATGGTCAAACATTCCCATAGACATACTCCTAAACCTTGTGGACAGCCTTCTCAGAAAGAGTTGAAGCTGTTATAGCTGCAAAGGGTGGGCCAGCTCAATATTGAACCCCACAGACTAAGACTGGGTTGCCATGAAAGTTCATGTGCGTGTAAAGGCAGGCATCCCAATACTTTTGACATTATAGTGTACATACACACATATATTTCTATTTTAAACTGAATGTGTCTTTTACATATACTTTGAGTGTTTTCCGAATGGTCATGTGACCACTTTATCTTTTTTCTCTTCTGTGGGCGCAGAGAAGTTGCACCAAAACATCACTTCAGGTGACTTTTCAGGAAGGAACATTATTTCAATGAGTTAGGACTGTCAATCAGAGAGGAAAGAAGGGTAGTGGGGAAAATCTGACAGGGTGTTTGTACAGAAGTCTTTCGGTTGTTCGACTTGTGAACAACCTCCCTGCCCATACATTGATTTAAATTTCGATCCATGTATGGCTGCCATAAGACAGAAAGTGTGTTAATGGCCTGATCACCAGTTGAAAATAAAAGCGAAAAAAAACCTAAAAAGAGTAAATGAATTTGGTCAATACATCTGAGGACTGGCAATGAGCAATATATGACATTTTTGTTTTCGGGTTTTGATATGGTTTTATTTTTGCAGTAACATACACTTTAAATCCAAGAGAGGGAGACAGGCTTATGCAGCAGTGACGTTAGTAAAGAGAAAAAATTTAAAGGGAATGGTGAAAATCTTTTTTAATAGCTTGTACAAACAGAAAAAGACAACGCAGGTAACGAATACCATTTATACAAGTATTTAATACATGGTCTTGCCCAACAATATTAAATGTGTCAAAAATGGGGTAAATAAATTGTTGTTAGTGCAGTGTAGTGTGAAAGCGTCAGATGCAGTGGTGTAAAGCACATCGCCACTGGACTCTAGAGCAATGGAGACGTGTTCTCTGGAGTGATTAATCACGCTTCTCTGTCTGGCAATCCGATGGATGTGTCTGGGTTTGGTGGTTGCCAGAACGGTACTTGCCTGACTGCATTGTGCCAAGTGTAAAGTTTGGTGGAGGGGGGATTATGATGGGTGGTTTTTCAAGGGTTGGGTTTGGCTCCTTAGTTCCAATTAAGGTGTCAGCAAACCAAGACATTTTCGACAATTTCATGCTCCCAACTTTGAGGGAACAGTTTGGGGATGTCCCCTTCCTGTTTCAACATGACTGTGCACAAAGCAAGGTCCATAAAGACATGGATGAGCGAGTTTGGGTTGGAGGAACTTGACTGGCCTGCACAGAGTCCTGACCTCAACCTGATAGAACATCTTTGGGATGAATTAGAGCAGAGACTGCGAGCCAGGCCTTTTCGTCTGACATCAATGCCTGACCTCACAAATGAGCTTCTGGAAGAATGGTCAAACATTCCCATAGACACACTCCTAAACCTTGTGGGCAGCCTTCCCAGAAGAGTTGAAGCTGTTATAGCTGCAAAGGGTGGGCCAACTCAATATTGAACCTTAAGACTGCGATGCCATTAAAGTTCATGTGTGTGTAAAGGCAGGCATCCCAATACTTCTGCAATATAGTGTATGTCTAGCCTGGGATGTATATACACTATTATGTTACTATCCATCATGTTTTGATGTACCTCATAGAATTTTACTATGTTTGTATGTGAATAAAAATCATTTTTTTTTCTTAACTTTTTTTAATATGTTATTGCTTAAAAGTGCAGCTTCTTTAAAACCCCAATTAAAATTTTTGTAATTGAGTGGTCTCATAATCTATGGATTGAGCTGCACTTAATTCACTGTGCATGAGCCCGTTGTTTTCTGCATTCAGCCTTGAGTCCTAACTCTTCAGCCAGCTAGCATTGGGGCCCAGTTGTACCATTGGTGCACATAAATATAGTCCCAGTCAAGTGTGCATGCAGCAATAAGGCTACTAAATGGCTGTATAGTCAGTTCCTAAATGGCTTTGTCTCTCTAGCAATAGTAAATCCCTAAAGCAGCAGCTCACCAGTCACAGCAATATTGCAGCTCACCATCTGGTCACATACAGCAATTAGTCCACTCTCTACTCTGAACACAGGAGACTCTGTCTGCACAACTGGACTCAGAACTCTGGAACCTGCTCAGGCCGCCATTATGCAGCAGTGGTGGTGCACACTGGACAGAGGTGCGCCCTCTGGGATCCCTCATGGCAAGAAGAAGCTGTGTTTTGTAAAGGTTGAGAAAATGCACCTCTTTCCCCTCCTCCTGACAATCTCCCTTTTTAAAAGCTCTTGATTATAGTAGAGTCACTCTCTTCTGAACTACAGTTCCCACAGTGCATTGCTGCCTGACTCAGTCTATTGAACTCTTCCTGCTCAGCAGCTCCCCCCTCCTGCTGATATAGCTGTTAACTAGTTCAGCAACGCAGCACAGCAGCTACAGAGAGCAGCCACAGCCAGTGTTTCTCTCACTCTCTATTCTTAGCCAAGCACCTGGCTACAAATGGAATGCTACTTTAATTTCTTTTTAGATGTTACTTTCAAAGGTTAGTTCTGCAGTCCTCAAAACCAAATAGAATGATAAAATGTGCACCAAAAATAAAATCAAGAAAATTGTTTAATATATGGGTGCAACTGGATAAAAAACAACATGAATTTCTGGTTTTCAGATATGATTGTTTTAGGAGCCTTATGTAAAGGAATGCTAGTCATTCGTACTAATCAGCGATTATGCTCTTTGCTTACTCCTAAAGGAATTAGCTTGTGAAAGGGTTTTGTGTCACATATATTCTGGGTTCACACTTAGGGTCCCATGCATACTGGGCATCTAGACCCAGTGCACGGGGCTCTGGCGTTTAGACATGGAGGTCACAGGTGCAGCATCCAGCCCTACTGCCAGCAGCTTGGTAAACTCTATGAAAGGCTGAGAGCTGCTGCGACTGGATGGGACTAGAAGGGTGCAACTATCTGTACTTATGTTTTGTGCAATATGCGCCCAGGGATGAATACCCAGAACACAAGAAGTCCACATTCTAGGCATTCGTGCCTGAGTGCATACTGCCCTAAGCAGAGGTATCACTGAGTGCACCGCCCACTCTTGTCCAGGCACTACACCTGTCAGCCTCCCATAGAGTTTGGCAGGGTGCGATCAGCGGGGCTGGAGGGCTCACTTGTGACCTTCATCTGGAGCTATCTGCCAAGTGTGTATGGGACCTAAATCACTTTAGAGGAAAGCTGGATGTGCAGGTATCAGATGTCTTTCAGTCCAGTCACAGTAATAAACATGAATGCTGGGGTCACCTGAGAACTTTTTTTATTTTGTATATTGTGGTAAAGGTGAAACCTCTGTGAAGGTTTTACTATAATATAATTGGTGTCACCAACAACCAACTTCCCCTGTTCTTCCTGCCTTTAACCACCTCAATACCATGCTATAGCTGGCTACAGCATGGCTCTCTGGCTCTAGGAGGGGATCTATGGACGTGCTCCCGAGAGCCCCCCCCCCCCCCCCCAGAGGTGCACTCTGTAACCACTGTGTCCTTTTGACACAGCTGATTGCAAATTGAGGTAACAGGCCAATCACAGTGGCCCTTTACCATGTGATCAGCTGTGTCCAATCGCAGCTGACCACATATAAATAAGCTTGGCAGGTATCTGCATTCCTTTCCTCACGAGCTGTTACTGTGTGACAAAAAGGAGAATCGGTAACCAGCAAGGCTGACAGCGCATATTTACACTGATAATCAGGGCACTGATCATAAGTGCCCTGATTATCATTGCAGTCCCATCAGTGCTGCCTATCCATGCCTATCAGTGCCCATCAGTGCCTAATCAGTGATCATTAATGCAGCTTATTAGTGCAGCCTCCAGTGTCCATCAGAGCTGCCTCATCAGTGTCAATCAGTGCCCATTAATGCAGCTTATTAGTGCAGCCTCCAGTGTCTATCAGAGCTGCCTCATCAGTGCAGCCTCAGTGCCCTTCAGTGCCTTCTCATCAGTGTCCATCAGTGCCACCTCATCAGTGCCACCTCATCAGTGTCACCTCACCAGTGCCACCTCACTAGTGCCGATCAGGGCAGTCTCAACAGCACCCATCAGAGCAGCCTTACTAGTGCCCATCAGTGCAGCCTCATCAGTGCCCATCAGTGTAGCCTCTAGCCTCATCAGCGCACATCAGTGAAGATGAAAAATTATGTATTTTGCAAAATTTTGTAACAGAAACTTTTTTTTTTTAATTTCTGTCTTTTTTTGTTTATTTTTAGAAAAAAATAACAAACCCAGTGGTGATTAAATACATGATTAAATAAAAATAAAGCTCTATCTGTCAAAAAAAAAAAGATACAAATCTCAGCATTTCATATGGGTACAGTTTTGCATGACTGCGCAATTCATTCAAAGTGCAACAGCACTGAAAGCTGAAAATTGGCCTGGGCAGGAAAGGGGTGAAAGT